AGGTTTTTTTTTTTTTTTTTTTTTTTTGTTTTTTTTTTTTTTTTTTTCCTCTTTTTTTTTTTTTTTTTTTTTTTTTTTTTTTTAGCAAAACCACAGTTTGACAAAACCAACCAAAAAAATTTTTAAATAAAAATAGCGAGAGGGGTGCATGTGCTTACATTGTGGCTTTAGTGTTAGGCACTGCAACAAAATCAAAACTGCTTCTTTTTTCATGTCTCTGATAAAACACTTTAAGGCAATCTAATCACTGTTGAATGGCAGCAGTTTTAAGTTTCTGGTCTGTCCTCCTTCCACAAATTTAAGCTTTGAAGAGAAATGTTATTGTTTTTTGTTTTTTTGTTCCCCCCCCCCCCCCCCAATCACAACCCATTTTAAGATCACCTGTGTAAAAACAGCTACAATCAAAAATGAGGCACTTTATAAAAGAGTATATAGATATCTAGGCTATATAGTATTATTCATTATATGTATACTGTATATTTTATATACCATTGTAGTGTGTCACTTTATATTAAAATCGTGTTAACTGTTTCCGAAATGAGGAAAACTATAACCACAGTATGTACTATAGTTTCTGTCACTCTACTCTTATTACTATAGTATATACCATAGTGTAATATACAGTTGTAATAGAAAAGCTAAGATGCCAACAAAAAAAAGCATTTATATTTTTTCTACTAAGTTTGTGTTACTTCAAAGTTCAAAATGATTTTAAGTCTTCAACTAAAAAAAAAAAACAACAACGTATATCTCCGTTTCTTTTCCTCTGGTGGTCTCTCCTGCTGAAGCGCTCGGCGATGTGACTCAGACATCATGTAATTGATTTGACAGTCATGTGTCAGCCTCGTCTGATACACTGTTATTAAGAGGAATCCGAAGGCGGACGAGGAGGGAATATTTGCAGCTCTCTGTCCGTGTCGACGTCGCAGACCGGCTGCGTCTGTTCGACTTCTATGCGTCTGACGATCGGGCAAACCTTTGAGCTCTTAAAAGTGGGACACGAAGAGCCTTGCTAGTTTTATGTTCAGGACTCTTTAGCGCCCATCCGGGACATTTCTACAAAAAACAAGCAAAATAATTGTTCCAATTTGAATGGGGCTGGACTTGATTCGCATCACAGCAATGGCGGTTGATGGGTAAATGGTGGAAAAGCGTCCTTCACTCTAACTGGCATCTCTGTAAAGACGTGCAAAAAGCCTTAAAATTAATTCATATTTTATTTTTATCTAACTTAAATCTCTTTATCTTTTCAGGGTGATTACAGTATTGAGAAACCTTTCATTTGTAATGACTTGTGGCTTCCTTGGGAAAACTTTTATGTGACGCAGAGGCACATCGCTCTTTTCCTTTCTTCAAAGTGGGAAAGACAAGAGAACATGCCACTCAAGAAAAAAAAACAAAACATCAACCCCACAAGTTAGGAAATGACTACAAAAATGTAACAATTAAAATCAAGAAAGAGAACAAACAAGGCTGGTTGAGGCAAACAAGGTAACTTATAATTTAAAAACTCCAACCAAGAGTTTGTCAGATTTGTATTACAGCCGTTAGATACTAGCTACATGCCAGCAGTGTTTTGGGCAGCTTGCACTGAAAAGTCCTTTTAGTCTTAGAATCGTCATATGTGAAATGTTGCTACTGCAATAAAAGACTAATTTATTTTGAGGATTTTTACACATCGTCACCAGGAGAGCAAACAAATGTGAAGGGCTCTGTAGTGAGTCTTTACATTTCAAAGCATTTGACCAGTATTTGAAGCACTTCAGTAACACAAGAGCAGTAGTCTAGAAGTATAAAAGCTTTTTTTCTGGGGGGCAACTTTACAGTAGATAATAATTTAAAACTGTTTACAGTGAGATGGTGTGAATGTTTAAGAAACGTGTGTCCAGCAGTTACCTTCTTATTTGCTTGAACCTAAGGGACACCTGTTGATCATTTAAACTATGTGTGCAAAGAAGAAGGATGTAACACTGCAGTGAAATTAAATAAGCTTACTAATTAGCATATAATTACTTTCCAGTCTTGTAGCACAAAACTTCAACCAACTGGTTAGCTCAAAAATGACAGGTGGAGTTTTTGCCAATTATAAAATTAATTTAAACTTACATTAACACTCATAATAAAGCATTTTGGAACAATTACGATTTTGAATAAAGTACAAAAAATGGCAACCATATTTTGTAGCCTGTCACCCCTGAGCTTCTCTGTACCAAGTTAAAAAAAAAAGATCAAGTGTCTCCTTAGTTCAAGCAACGTAACGTCTTTTCCTTACGCTTTGATTGTGTGTTGAGTTTGTAAGGCTGTGTGTGTGTGTAAGTACGTGTTTGCGTTTGTGTGCGAGCGTGCGTGTGTGTGTGTGTGTGTGTTTGGCACACATTTGGTTGACAGAAAACAGCAAACAGGAAGGGATGAGATTTCCATAGTTTCAGCGATCCGACTCCGGCGTACAGTTCTGTTGTGGCAACACACGGCGAGCCGTCGCATCAAAGACAAAGACGGAGATCAACAGTCTGGAATGAAAGAATCAAAAGAAGGCAGAGATGTTCAAGGATAGATTTCTCACACAAGGGAATTTTTCTTATCTTCATGCGGTAAAAAGCGTAAATGTTTTTTCTCCCCCCCGGCACATCTAACGCAGACTTCCTCAGCACAGAATGTTACAGCCGATAAAGCGGTTCTGTCTAGATTATGTATTCGCCCAGGCATATTGCTTTTGTTTAATCTAGAAGTCCTGCTGGCAGCTTGAGTAAATATCACATGACGCTTGATATCTTTGTTGAAGGATTTTCTGATCGGTCTCATGGCCGTTGTTGCAGATATCAATATTGTGTGTGTTTGTGACAGCTTTATCCCTTCCACAGATTATTGTTTCTTCTTTTTTTTTTTTTTTTTACAACCACCTGAACAGCACAAAGTGTTCACTGATCTAATCTGATCATTTCAATATAATAAAGTGGAGGTGCCTACGACTCTTGTCACAGGTCTAAACGTTTGGCTTTAGATTATTTATTTGAACCAAGGTTTTCATGCCTGGACTGTTAACGCAATGATTTAAAAAAAAAATAAAAAATAAGACAGAATTTTCTGTAATCCACACAGAGTCATATAGACATACACACATCCCCACAGAGTTTTGTTGATTTTGCTGTAGTGTCCATTGACAAGCTGCGGAGCACCAATGTGGTTTTTGTAGCCAGCAACACACTTCTTTATTCAATTTTCTATGCAGAACTTGTAGAACTAATTTAAAATTCCCAACACGGATCTAGCTTTGAAGAAAATATTTTCAATAAGGTTGATATTAATGGTAAGTTCAATCAACATTTGTGTCAACGTGGAAGAATTGGGGTTTTCCTCCTCATGTAGTTGACCAGTACTGGTAAACTAGACCATCAGGAAGAATCTAAGACCACCATGGTTGGCATTTGGCTCAATATTCTCAAATTTTAATGTCTAACCCTGACTTATCTAGACATACTTCTTCTCAATGAAATGAAATATCTTCAGTTTTGATAGCAAAACACGTCTCTGAATGGCATTGGGCTCCAGCCTCAATTTTTTGGAGAGCTTGGTGCCAATAGTTTTGGAGCAGGGCTTTCTCTTAGTTGGCAGGTTTTGTCTCCATTTCGATGTTAAATTTACTTCAACGTGGAAAGTGACGGTGGCGTTCCAGCATTTACAATTAGGTGCTTTAAGTGATCCCAAACACAACCTGTTGAAAATTTACAGATTATGCATAAAAGTCAGATCCTGGCCAGAGAAACCAACCAATTTAAATAAATTATACCAATTCTGCTAAGAAGAGTGGCCAAAAACCCTGCCAGAATTTGCCAGAAGCTCTTTTATGGTTGACAAAATATTTGATGTCAAGGTACAACTTTCTATGACCAAATACAGGCATAGGTCGGAGCCTGTATATATAGTTTTGACCCTGTGTGGATTACAGAAAATCCATAATCAGTTCAAACTTGTGCACTCAAATCTTATTAAAATCATTGAAGCCATACATTGTACAATCTTTTGCTGTAGAAAGAAAATCAAACCTACAAATAAATAGTTAAAAAGCCAAAATCAATATAAAAATCATGGCAGGGACGAGTGCTTGCCAACTTCTGAATGGACATGGAGTAAACCAGGTTCTTTCTGGGTTTATAATGAAACACTGCTCTGAGGTACAGTTTATCAGAAAACAGTTACAGTCGATGAAACCAGGATAAATGGGCTTATAGAGGTTTGCATTACCGAAAGGCATGATCAGTCATTAACTGCAGCATAAATAATTACTCATGGACAGAGTATTCCCAGAGCCTAGATTTCAATTATGTAAATGCTAAATAAATAGCTGCACATTTAGAATATGATTGCCCATAGAAGAATTGGCTTTGATCAAATTTATCTGCTGATGTTGATATTAAACATGAAATGTTAACTTGAAAATAGAGCACATATTTTTGACAATCTGCACATCAATTTATTTAAAAAAAAATAAATTGAACCTTAAACGGTAATAAACCCATCTTAGGAATGCAACATGAAACTTAACGCTGCCATCAGAAATCCAGCAGCCATCAACCCGCCCACATATAAACATATAAACACCTGGCCCGCGTTTTGTCCCCTGTGCCTCCATTCATGTGAAATGGCTCATTACCAGCAGACAAATCAATTGGCCCTGCTCTCTGAACACCCACTTGTGATAATAAGAGACTCTACAGACAGCCCACAGACTGGAAGCGCAGCGCTGCCCACCAGCTTGAAGCCATGGAAAACATCAGTGCAAGATGAAAGCAGCAGTGACTAAGATCCAGACGAGGATTTTATCAGATGACTATTAACATCACGTCAAAGCATGTATCCAATCTGATTAGTGTTAAATGTTTTTTTTTCTCCTTTTAGCTACATTGAAATGTTTACATCATCATCAGGGTTTCTTTTTGTTTTTTTTTTCATAACTGTTGGGTCTGCAGCTGCTTATAAAGCCATCGTGAAGGCCAGACAATGTTCTGAATGTCTGCAATTGTCAATTTGTCATTTTACAATTCATAATGAATACTTTTTAGATTATTCTTGGTCTGAGGACTCACAGCACTCACCTTGTCCCTCCTTCCTACTGCTCTGGTTCGTTCGTAGTTCCTCCGATTTGTAGAAATCAATACTGGCGTAAGTGTTGAGGGAAGAGCCGGCACTGGTACTCGCTCCGACGTTGTAGACGGGAGAGGTGCGCTCTGCTCCAGCTTGAGTGCTCTCCTTCATGGCTAAGTCAAGGTCTATGTAGTTAAGGCCTTGTTCAGTGGATGTGGTGGAGGCTTGGGGTGGAGGCGTGGCAGACAAACCAGCAGTCTGGCCATTCTCCCACAGTGAGCAGTCCAAACCCTGCCGATGACTCGCTGCCTGGCTGCCCTCAGGGAAGAGGGAGGTAGAAGAAGATGCGTATGGTGGCAAAGATGGCGGTGAGCTAAACGTCTCTGACCGGTGGCTCAGGTGTCCCTGTTGATCACCTCGGACCAGTCTGCTGCTCTTATCAGGCGACTGGAAGGACTTGACCGGGGAAGAACCCAAACTTGCCTCCTGCTCTCTAGATAGTGGTTGACCAGAGTGGATGGCAGGTCTTGCTAAGTTGCTCGAATTGGAAATTTTGCTGTCCATGAACGGAACATCCGTCGGCCCTGTTGCCATCTTTATTTTTGTTCTGTACCCTGCGCTGCACTCTGCTACCAGAGGAGAGGGCGAGCTGTGTTCATGCCGGGCCTTGGGGGAAGCTGTCGGTGGGTCCTGTAGGGTGCTGAATGTGGACCTAACATGAGTCAGGGGTGTGGAGGATTTCCCTAAATCCATGTTGACATACTCAGCAGAGGTGGAGAGTGGTGCCGAGAAGCTGCGGGGAAGGTTAGCAGGGTTATCATGACAGAGGAGCGGCTGGTTTATGGGCCGAAGAGTTCCATGGATTATAGGCGGTCCGTGACAAGACCCTCCACTTTGTTCTTTATCGAATGCACCATCTTCCTTAAAGACAATACTTACATAGTCCCCAACATTCTGGGATCCCAATGGTGGTAGATTCTCCTTAACCCTTGGCAAGGTGTTCGCTTTAGCAATGTCTGAAGATACGCTCAAAGGACGGCCCCTCCTCTGTTGCTTTGGACTTTTACTACTGGATGCGCGCTTTTGGTGGTGACGTCCATCCTTTGTGGATGTTCCTGCACTTTTGTATTCCGCCCCTGTTCTTAATAAACTTAACCCCCGCCCACCAGATGTTGACTTATCTTCAAGGCTTTCACTGCTAGCAGAGCTGGAGGAGAAAGAAGAGGAAGACATGGAGAGCTGGCAGCCTCCTGCAGAGCCCACAGCAATTTTGTTTCTTTTGCTGTACCCTGTTCTCCCTCCCCTACCAGCACTTTCATGCCCACTGCTGTCTTTCTTTTCTTCCCCCTTGTTCAAGTCCTCCTCAAAGCGAGTATAGAGGGTATGCTGATAGGCTCGTGGCAGGGAGAAGTATGAATTGAACATTTTTGGTTGCAGCTGGTGCTGCTCAGGGTGTGAAGGCGGTGTGCTGCAGGCAGAGCGACTGCTGACAGGGGAAATGTTCATGTAGTCACTGGCTGCCCGGCTCTCCATGCTGGCTCTGCTCTCCCATATGCCCAGTCCGTGCAGGTCTGTGGAGCTGCTGCTGTTAGGAGACATGACCATGTAGCCCTCTGAGGTGGGTTGGCGGATGTGCTGAGGAGGGGACACGCTGTTGTTGGGGGTCATGGCCATGTACTCATCATCTGCCCCGGGTTTAGCGCTGGCGTCGTACATACCCATTGAAAGAGATAGTGAAACAGGTGGAGATGTCACCCCAGGTAACATTGACATGTAGCCACTGTCTACAGCTGCTCCTGTGTCTCCATGTCCCCTGCTTTTGTCAGCCCTCTTCCTGTTCTTCCCTACTGCGTCAAGCTGCCCACCCTGAACTGCTGGATTCCCTGAGCCTTGATGCAGATCTGCCCTCTCTCTATTAGCACTCTGTGACATGATGGCATACTCTTCCTCATCGTCATCATCTTCATCTTTTCTGTGCGGGGTTAGTCTTTCATGGGATGCCAAAGGGAGGGACGCCCTCTTGCTCAGCAGCCTTCGCTCGGCCTCAGACTCTCGACTTGATGAGCGTCGCAGAATCCGTCTGCCTTTTGGATGATGGTGGGAACCAAGCAGACCTTCTCGTTGTCCCATTACTATATAGCTGGAGGAGCCCTCTCCATGTGCATGATGTCCTGATAGACTTGGTATGAGCAGAGAGTGTTCACCAGGACTGGAGCCATATTCATCCGAGGACCCGTAGTCACTCGGTGAACCTGAAACAGAAACTCTTTGAGAAACGCGAGCGTAGGAGCAAATCGACATGCCTCCCACTACGGACCCAACCAGGCCACACTCTGACCCATGACCTGAACTGGAGGACAGGCTTGGTGCAGGAGAGGGAGCAGGGTTAGGTGTGTAACGTGCAAGGCTTAAGGTAATCTTAGCAGGTGTTGGAGCCCTTGTGGGTTTGGGCCTAAGCGTTGGAGTAGTTGAGCAGGATCCATTCAGGCTCGGGCTGGAACTGGCCCACGTCCCTCTGGCACTCGCTCCTCCCTCCTCCGACCTGGCTCCGATGCTGGCTGTTCGTGCCCTTGGAAAACCATGACGTGACGTGGGTGATGTGCTTGTGCTGCTGCCACCTGTTCCTGGGGTCTCAGTGCGTGCTCGTCTGGAAAAGCCCACCTGGCTTGGTGGCAGGTTTGGGTGATGACGCCGACTCGGGACACTAATGGGGTTTGAAGCAGTGCCGCCGCCACAGGAAGTTCCCACAGACTGAGACTTGCTGCGCTGACGGAACTCCTCACTCAGGGCTTTCATCGCCTCCAGCAGAGTCTCGTGCATGTTTTGAGCCACAACGGAGTCGTCCACTTGCATCCAGAACTCTCCGGGGCCTGTGATGGCTGAGCGTCCCACCTCGATGAAGAAGAAGTTCTCTGAATGGCCACACCTGCGGACATTCATCAGCTGCAACACCACAGTGGCCACATCCGAGTTGAGTTTGACAAAGTTGACTGTCTTATCAGTTAGGCACAGCCGATAGATGCCCACCAAGTTCCTGGCATGTCCAAGACCTTTAGGCCAAACCTTGACTTGCCATACCTCCTTAAATGTCGGGATGGGAGATGGAGAGCTACACTCTCCACTGCTGCCATAGTCTTCTGGGGTTTTACCTGGGAAGAAACAGAGCAAAAAACATATATTAATCAATTACACCTCTGAATGTAAAAAAAACCAAAAAAAAAACACCGAATTTGATTATTTATTGTCTGTCAAAAAAACTTTGCAAAATATGTCTCTGCCTAGCAGCTGTGCTCTAGCCAATTAATCTGCATCACTTTAAGCTCCAGCAAATAATAATTATTTATGTCCTAAGAGGCTTAGAATAAATTAGCTGAAAAGTAATACCACAGTGGTACAAGTGATCGTTATTTTTCAAGGTAAATGCAGATATGTAGTCGCCAACAGTAAACTAAGAATTAGTTAAAACTTAATTTTAACTGAATTAGTTGGTAGTTTTGGATATGAGTGATATGGCTCACCACCACCACCATTTTTTGTCACATAGTTTCTGTTGATTATTTGTATGTCCAATGAAATGGGATGTGACACCATACAATGTAAACCCTAAAACAAAAGTCACAACGCAAAGCTAGCGACGCTAAAGTTGGCATGAAATTCGCAGGTTTTGATCCAGTGCCAAATTTAACTTGTTTTTCATTGGATTAAATAAATCATTCTGATTCACATTTATTAAAGCACATTTTGTGATTTCTCTTCCTTCATCCCCTGAGAGCCACACACAGAAAAACTGTGTTGTGTGTAGGAGAGCTCAGAAGGTTGGCTAGTCACATTGCCCACTCAGCATTTCAACTTTGAGGAGTTTATCTGTTATTTTTTTCCTATACTTCAGTGGTTCAACTTGACTTTTTGAAGATCTTTGTCTTCAAAAAGTCAGTAAAAATACTGTTACTTGAAAAAGCACAAAATTAGTAAGCTGTTATTTCCATTTAAAGGTTTTAGAAACACTAAAATAAACATTGGCCAGAAGTTCTTACAGCTTTTTAAACAAGCAGCATCTCACTAGAATCCATGTTTGTCCATCATACCGTCATGCTGTTTTGAAATAGTATTACAATATTGAGTTGGATTTTTTTCCAATTGTTTTTCTGTTTTCTTACAAACATGTTTTCATCTAAGCTCCGTGTTGGAAGCAAGAATATCCAAAATTCAAATGTAAAAATTAACAGGATGCTCCTCCAATATATAACAGAGAAACATAGGGGTTGTTCGCCAATCTCAACCTCAAAGTCTCAATATTAAAAAGTGCTAATCAAGACTGTGAAAAGGTGTAAAAAATTTCAAAAAAGAACCAGTTGAAAAATATCTAAAATGAAAATATTTCCTAGTATACGAGGAAGTTGTGCCACTGTTAAGACAATCGCTACAGAGGACCCAAATAAATAAAGCAGACAAAACCACTGCTGCACTGGTTCTGAATCTGAATAAAAAAGTAGGTGCATGACAGGTATTTCAAAATTGAAAATGAAATGTGTTAGAGATTGACATCATGGGCGCTTGCTTTCATGTTAATATGGACCAAAATCTATGTGGACAACTTCCTTTTAAATACACATAAACCCAACATTATTCAAACGCCTTTTTAGATTTTGGCTTAAGTTAATTTTTCAGTACCACGTTTTCCAGCCTGAAAGTAATTTTAAGTGACAGATAATCCATGGAGAGTGAATAATAATCACCAGTCATCACCAAAGATAAAACATTAAATACCAGAAAAGAAAAAAAAAATTAAGTAATTACCAACATGGTTTGATGGCTGCAATTCCGATAAATATTTTATTAACTGATTACAGAGAAGTGGATCAGTAACGCACGATATGCTATTTTTGAATAGGAAAATGTAAACAAGACATGAACGCATAGATATATTTGCACATACACACACTCACACACACACACACACACACACACACACACACACACACACACACACACACACACACACCACCGCTCTATTGATGCTGTCCCTGGCAACAAGATGTGGTCTACGCACTACGCTCTGAGCGCGTATCTGCTCAGGCTTCCACAACAACACGTCGGAGAGGGGCAAGCCCATCAGTCTACACTGACTGACTGAAACGCATGAAATGCAAAGGGGAGGAGGGCAGGTGGTGGTGGTGGTCTGCTCCCATCATAAGGATAACAACGTAAACACGAGGGTAGCCAACAGAAACATAATTTCCAGTCAGATGCCGTCCCAATCCTGCCTTAACCGCGCCGCGCCGCACAGCGCGAATGTAGGTTATGCGAACGGCAAGTCAGAGCTGTGCAGAAAAACAAAAACACAGGCTGCAGCGGAGTGCACCGCGATAGGCTACTACTATATGATGCATCCCTTGGATGGTTGCTATATGCCCACTGCGTCATGCAAAACACACCATCGTGCGAATGCGGGCTTCATTTTAGTCAGAAGAGGCAGCGGTTTTCCCTCGCTGTACGCACGAACAATTAAATATGCATCACATTATTATTATATATATATATATGTTTTTTTTTTGTTTTTGCCGACTGGAATTGATCCTCTATGTTGAAGCTTGGTGAGATCGCTGCACAAACACATAACGCATGCCGCCCGTTGCGTGATGGTCTACCCCGCTCAGTCAGATGAACCACCTCCTGTCTTAAAAAACAGTCTGATTTACGGAATACAATCAGATTTAAAAATAAATTCAACACACAAACGACTAAACCACACCTGCAGTAAAAAATAAAAAATTAACAAACAAAAAAAAAGAACATATTCTAACAATACAAGCTGGGTTGTGCTTTCTCTTTTTTTTAACAATCTGGAATGGGCGAGACATATATATGGAGATCAATCAGCCTATAGGACAGGACAGGCCTGATGGAGAAACAGACAGTGGGAATCACAGCCCACGCTTCATGTCTTACAGTTGCACTGAAGATCCAGCATGGCTTGGTACCACTCATTCTGGACCTCCTCGCTGTCCGCAGCGATGGCAAAGCTCTCGCTGCGGGTGTAGAGCACGATCATGTGCTTGTTCTTGGAATCCGCCCGCTTGTTGATGTTGAAGCAGGTCTCCAGGTTCAGGACCTTCTTGGGCACAGGTGATTTACTGCGGAATTTCTTTTCGTTCTCATAGTACTCAAGACGAGCGGGACCATGCTCCGAGGCCGCCCTCAGCACGAAGAACCGCCGGTGCATCGATTTGTGCTTGCGGAGGTAGCCGCTTTTCTGCACATCTTCATAGTTCTGCGGCTCGACCGCTTGGCTCTCCATGACCAGAGCAGCGCGATGAAAGCCCGGTTACGCCGTAAAAATCTCAGGGAAAAAGCCGAAGTCCATGTGTTCTCCTCATTTGTCCTGCTGCGGCTACATCCCTCTCGTCTTCTCCGCGCGCACGCTGAAAATATCAAGCATGTGTGCGGGGGATCAGGACGGGGGAAATCAGCCGAAGCATGTTTTTGTATCTGGCATCAGCTGCAAGGGGAGCAAATGAGGGATGAGGAGGAGGT